GACCCATTTATAAAATGCACTTGGATTGGTAAAAATTTCGTTTAAGCTCCATAGAAAATGATCTAAAACTAGCTGCATTATAACTTTTTAATGTTATTTTAAATTGTTAAATATAAACATTTCATAAAGAAAACGAATTATATGCATTACTACTATAGCTTTAATTTTTCAATAGCGGGATAGGTAGGGAGGATCTTCCTTACTTACTACTTTCACTTATTTTTTAGTTGGTAGTTATTGTGGGCCTCATTCAAAGTATTCATCGTCACACTCTTGGTTTACGCGGGCAAACTCTGGATAATTCAGGGCAGTGGTGGTTTGCGTGAAGGTTTGTTACGGTCATATATGTATATCTTAGGGTTACACTGCCGGGAATATATAGATAGATAGTCAACTATGATCATCTTTGTACCTTAGTATGTGAAAGGTCTGATGTAAATTGTATTATTTTCAAAACAGTTTTTTTAGTCTTTCTGGAATAACACCTCCCTATTACTCTGATGTGAAATAAGTCTTTCAGTTAAAGTCTTCCCATTTGGGTCCATTTTTAGTAGTTATAGCGGTCATACTGTGAACTCACTTATAATGCTCATTATCAAGAAAGCCCATGTATTGTGACGGGTAACTACGGAACCCTACCCTACATTGTACGTTTCCCGACACGCACTTGGCCAGTTTTTTTCTTTTATGAATTTAATCACCTTAACGTTAATACAATTTATCTTACTGCAGTGAAATTAAAATTTTGTTTGTTAATGTCATTCTTTTTAATCTACTACCATTTTGAAATGAGGTTCCCCTGACTGGAGAAGAAATGACGGAAGAAACTCGACAGATATCGCTTTTTTGTTATTTTCAAGGATTATGTTACAGTAATATCTCTACCTCTTAATATCTATCGTTAACTCTTAATATGATGTGTCATGCTCGCAACTATTAACATAGACCTCTGTTTGCGGCGTGGGTCGGGTCACAGGTTGTCAACTTCCCTTTTGATAACAATGACATTTGACGAACGAAGCTTTCTTTATTTACCTACATCTAAAAAATAAATATAATGATATTAATGAAAGTTAAAAAAAATTTAAGTATACAGCCTATATACGTCCCACTGCTGGGCACAGGCCTCTCCTCATTTCTGAGAGGGTTTTATTAATGAAATTATATATTATGACTTTTTTTTTTTTTTATAGGATAAGGGTGACAAACGAGCTTTAAGCTGCTATTTTACGCTGGTATTCTGTGAGAGCGTGGTCCTTCCCCGGTCGAGCCGACCCATTCGTGCTACAACCATAATATAGATGCAGCATGGCTCTACCACGTATATATTTATATACATATATATAATTTAATGTACAAGGTAGTACATATGCCGGAATTAATACAGTAGTAGGGCGTTCCCTCCCTGTCAAACATTATGCATGTCAATATGCTAAACAGAGATAAACTTTTATGAGAGTGTGGTGCAGATCAAAAAAGAAAAAAACGATAAAATATATATATACATATAATGTCTACTTATATATATATATATATATACATATAATGTCTACTTAAATGCATTTATAACAAATATATGAATATTTATATATTGTGTTAATATGTATATACATACTGTATTCAATTGCTTATGCGTATTATTTCAAACATGCAACAATTTTTTCACATGCTCACTCACTTTATAGACTAAAAATTGTTGGGAACTTTTAATGTTAAGAGAAATGTCGTACCAGAGTACCAGAGTCGTGAGATTGAAAGAGTGAGATAAGTAACCAGTACGGTGCAAGGGCGTGAACAACTTGAGATTACCCGGAGAACGTAGAGAACATTTGTGAAAGGTATCAGGCTCGCAGGTATTGAAATTTAGATTTCAAATACTCGGGAGCACATAGACTGTTCAAAAGAAAAGTATGCAGAGTATTCTTATAGCTGCACTTATGCTGACTGACTGAAGGACGTTAAGCTTTTGGAGCTTATTAGTACATCATAGGCGCACCCGTACCGTGGCAGCTATCGCCCTCCTCGAAAATAAGTGAAGTATAGTTAAAGAAGTGGATGAGACATCGCGATACCGTCGTATGCAGAGAGCTCTAAACGAGCAATCAATGACATTATTCTGTTAGGTCTATTGTATGAAGTATGTTGATTGTTCAAATTGTGAAAGAGTAACTGTATTTAAAAATTTGAGTGTCAATAATTATTAGAGATGAAACGGATATCCAGTAATTATACTGTATCCTGTATTCGGCTTAAATTTACTATTCGGCCGAATTTTAAAATTAAGGTACTTTATTTTAATATAAAATTATTAATTGAAGTAAAATTTTTGTATATTACGTTTTTTTATTACATACGTACATATATATTTAAAAGAGTTTGCTCCACAGCCAAATCATTACATATTAGTAACAAAATTAAGGCAGCTAAGAATAAAATTAAAATGACGTGGAGTATAATTAACAGCGAAACCGGTAATGAGAAACCTCGTAATTCAAACTATCAATTAAAAATTAATAATGAATTGACTAAATCAAATCAAGAAGTTGCAGCGGTGTTTGAGAAATATTTCACTGATGTTCCTATCTTGACAATAGAGTCATTGAATGCTTCTCCAACTGTCGCCGAATCATTACTTAAACAGAATGTTAATACCTGTTTAAAAGAATTTAGATTTGAAAAAGTATTACCGCATAATATTGTAAAATACTTCAAAACCATTGATGTAAAGAAAACCGCAGATTTGTGGGGGATTTCCGTTACAGTGATTACGTCCATAATAGATTTAATTGCACCTCATCTTGCTATTATTTTTAATACTTGTATCGATTCTGGTGTGTTTCCTGATTTAATGAAGTATAGTAAAGTAATACCTTTATTTAAATCTGGTAGTACATTGGACCCCGCTAATTATAGACCTATTTCTGTACTACCAACTCTCAGTAAAATTTTTGAAAAAATAATTTTGGATCAATTGTTAATTTTTTTTAATACAAATAAATTACTTCATAAAAATCAATTTGGTTTTACAAGGGGTCGCTCGACGTCTGACGCCGGTGTTGAGCTTATGAAATATATTTTTAATGGCTGGGAGAATTCACAAGATGCCTTAGGTATTTTCTGTGACCTTTCCAAGGCTTTCGATTGTGTTCATCATGATACATTAATCAGGAAACTACAACATTACGGTGTAAAAAATTTGGCGCTTAAACTTATTACTTCATATTTAAGTAACAGAACTCAAAAAGTCGTCATTAATGGTAAATGTTCCTCCGGATCGGTAGTATCAATGGGCGTTCCTCAGGGCTCGATTCTTGGCCCATTCCTGTTCTTAATCTATATTAATGACTTACCTTATCTTGTAGGGGACAATCACGATATAGTATTATTTGCTGACGATACCTCTTTAATTTTCAAACTGAAACGGCAGTCAATTAAATATGACGATGTAAATAATGCTCTATCGAAACTAGTACATTGGTTTAACACCAACAATTTGCTCTTAAACGGCAATAAGACAAAATGTATTAAATTTACAATACCTAATGTAAAACATTCGAAAACCAATGTGCTCTTAAATGGGGAGGAGTTGAGTCTTGTGGATACCACTGTTTTTCTCGGTATTACTATTGACGCGAAACTTCAATGGGGCCCCCATATATCTAAATTAGCAAGCAGACTTAGTTCTGCAGCATATGCTGTAAGAAAGATTAGAAGTCTCACAGATGTTGAGACAGCTAGGTTAGTGTATTTTAGTTACTTTCATAGCGTAATGTCTTATGGAATTTTGCTATGGGGTAATGCGACTGATATTGAAGCTATATTTGTTTTGCAAAAGAGAGCCGTACGGGCGATTTATAATCTAAATTGTAAAGAGTCCCTTAGAGAAAAATTTAAAGAAATAAACATATTAACTTTGGCATCGCAATATATTTATGAAAATGTAATGTATGTACATAAAAACATAAATAGCTTTAATAAGAATAAGGATGTTCATACCTTAAACACTAGGAACAAACATAAGCTTGTAATGCCACTTACAAGACTCCACAGAATTAGTAATTCATTTATGGGGCAATGTATACGCTTTTACAACAGAATCCCAGAACATGTTCAAAGTTTGTCAATAAACAAGTTTAAAAGTTTTATTAAAGAAAAACTGTACAAAAAGGGTTATTATAATATCAAGGAATACATGAGTGAAAATAACCCCTGGGAATAAGGTGATCGCCACCATGCTGGTTCTATGAAAATTCATTTAAAATTGTATAATCAAAATTATTGTTAAGTGAAATTATGTTTAAAAAAAAAAGTCCCGCTGGGTTTCTTGCTGGTTCTTCCCAGGACAGAGGTATTTTCCGAACCAGTGGTAAATAAAATAATGACTTTCAATAAGTATTATGTAATAATCCATATTGAATAAAAATCATTCTATTCTATTCTATTCTATTCTATATAATCACGCCTCTTTCCAGTAGGGGTAGGCAGAGACCACTTCTTTCCACTTGCTACGATCCTTACATACTTGTTTCGCTTCGTACATTTTCATTATTCCCTTCATACATGCTCTTCGGTTTAGGGTATTTATAGCGCCGCTGACGGACGTGCAGAGAACCAACATTTATTAACCAGCTTGGTCGACTGGCTTCCCTCGAGGCTGCTGACACTGCTTTTTTTATTGTACGTGGTAAACTCTTGCTACAGATTGGGCTGGCTCGACCGAGGAAGGATCACGCTCTCTCAGAATACCAGTGTAAAATAGCAGCGTCGGACTATGAGAGTGGAGGAATAGAGAGTGCACTTGTGTTTGTACACTCTGGCACTATAAACCTGGCTTGCTCAGATGGCAAGTCTCCGTTGAGACTGGACATTATTTTTATATGAAATAACATAAGGATCAAAGAATTTGGTGTTTTCGTTCATTTAGTAAGAAGGTTCATTCATCACTTAGTAAGAAAATTTATTAGTAGACTAGGAGTAGTAAGATTTGTGTGTCTTTACAGATTGCGTGCAACTGCAGGTATACCGCGACTCAAAAGCTCGCTGGGGTGGCGCGGCCAGCAAGGCGTCGCTGTCTCTGCAGCGTTACCTCGGCTGCGAGACTGGCTTCACGCTCGACAAGCACTCGCACACGCTCGCGCTCATCTGTCAAGACTTCACCGCGGTACTCGCCTTCGAGACCCGCGAGCGGCTTATGCAGTGGCAGGTAATATTTAAACATGCCCGTACCTATACTGTACCTACTAATGTAAATTCATCAATAAGATATTTTAAATTCAAATCGCAGAAATTTTAATATTTTACACAGCCACTACACTTAGTTTATATTTTTTTCACGTATACTTTATTTTAATTTGCTTCAATTAAGGGTTACATAAAGAGAGACAGAGAGAGAGCGAGAGAGAGAGAGAGAAAGTCATTGACAGCCTTGTTGGTCTAGTGATGGTTAACGCGGTGGTTGATCATGAGGTCCTGCGTTCGAATCCATGTTTGAGTCAGGCCGAAATGGGTTATTGTAATAAAGCAATCGATGCTCCGGGAAGTCTGCTGTCTGTGAACACGTACAAGATCGCCCCCGTTACTATATTAGATTTATAGACCACAAATCCTCGCTAAAGAAGATCGATTCCTTCCAAGGCTGATTCGCGAGGCTATTGAAATCAAACACATCATAATTTTAATAGATAAGATGGCTTGATGCCACCATCTGTTTGGGATCCTATAATTAATAAAATTAAATCTCAACCCAAGTATACAACTGCAAGACTTCAAGATACTGTAAGGTCGTACTGTGTAGATCGGAAAAAAATTAATAATGTTGTCTGGAAGAGATCGCTTATTAGCGATAAGACCGCCTTATTGTACCTACCTCTTAAGTTTTACTCCTTGTAATTTGTTCTTTTTTATCGTTTTTTGTGGTGTACAATAAAGTATAAATAATAATAATAATAATTTTAATGTGGAGGTAGCTGTGGTTAACTATGACATTAGGCATCAAACACCTCAGTCCCCTCCCCCCGTGACCTTGAGTGCTGTAAAGTGCTCGAAACGTCAAAAATATAAAATAAGTTAATATACGCTATAAAATTCGTAAAAACTAGTATTTATTATTTAAATGTTTAGTGATCGCGTAAATATAAGAAATCATTATGAGTTATTGTGTTTATCTGTCGAGAAATGCTCAGTTACATCCTGGAGTCAGAAAGTCGGCGGTGTTTCACGCCCGTGCCGAAAAAAGCACGTGAAGTCTTTGATCCTGCGCCTGATCTCTCTCCAGTCGTTTCATATTGCCGTTCTTTACTTTGAGAGCAAGGTACTAGAGAGAGCACCTGCGCTTGCGCACACACCCATGCACTAAAACCCTATCCTTCCCTGATGGCTGGCCTCCATTGAGACTGATCGAGACTGAAATTTGGTCTGATGCACATTATTGCATTACGCAGGTAAAGCTACAGTCACACTTGGGCTGGGCGAAGCAGTGGGTGGTAGTGGTGGCTGCGGGTGGACGGCTGACGGCGGGTCCGGCGCGGTTGCTGCTACGTCCACCAGCAGCCGCCCTCGCCACGGGAGTACCACCAAAACTGCTCGCCGTTTGGGAGCTCTCCCATCTAAGGTTAGAATTTTTTATAGAATAAGGATGACAAACGAGCACACAGTCCACTTGATATATACATTTATCAGAATCAAAATGCGTATGTGTTGTCACCCCTGAAGACTGAGATTGAATGATTCAGTGCTACAGTCATAATGCTCGACCGGGGTACGACCACGCGCTCTCACAGAACAACAACTAAACAATAACAACAACTAACAACAAATAATGATGTGTTTCGTATGCTAAGTAGTTCTCAGAGGTGACAGGTAATCAGCATTTTTATTCTTAATCTAGGATAGATGTAGATGCATATGGGCCGCACCATACATTTACCATTAGGTGGACTGCGTGCCTAATTGTCACTCTTATTCTTTTAAATAAATATATAAATAAAATCGACATATCAGTTCACTCCCCGGTGAGTAACTACTGCAGTCTGTGCAGTCTGTGCAGCCTACATGCGACTTCGAACAAAAAAGTCTTTCTATGCACTGTTACCGTTAAAAACTAAGATGGAAATGCCTTGCAGTCTGCAATTACATTGTATTCGTATTTACTCCACAGTAGAACCAGAGTGATCGACATAGCCCAACGGATTAGTAAGATGAAGTTGCAATGGGCCGGCCATATAACTCGAAGAACCGACAATCGATGGGGAAAAAAGGTTCTCGAGTGGCAGCCTCGTACCGTTAGGCGAAGTATAGTGCAACCATCCAATAGATGAAGTAACGGCCTGGTAAGACATGCAAGAAGTCGATGGATGCAGGTGGCTCAGGACCGTGCTTTGTGGCATTCCTTGGGAGAGGCCTATGTTTAGCAATGGACTTGTGAAGGGCTGTATTAAGAATGATGATATTCACTATATATCACTCCGGAATAAAATGTGCTCGCAGTGTTGCTTGGCACCAAAAATATGTAAGGGGATGGTACTACCAAGAAGAAATCTATGTGGCAAATAAATCGACGAAGCGGCAAAAAAACAATGTAAATCAAACATCATTACATTTTAAATCGAGGTAGTAATCTTTTACCAATATTTTTTCATCCCTGGATTAAGCTTTGTTATTTACTATTTCATCTTAAGAATTAATGCTAAGCATACTAAGATATTAATAATTATATTATAAATTTTCAAATCGGGTATCGAATATATTTCTGACAGGCTGTAAATATGTTGCTGTCCTATAATTACTAAATAATTTTTTTAACATGAGAAGTGTTCAATGTAATTTACCCTTGATAGGCGATATGGCGTCGTCGAAGGCCGCTTTTGCTTGGAAGGTGGTTCACTATGTGGCAAGAGCGAGGGTCTACACGTGCTCGTAACAGATCAGGCTGCAGAGATCGCACGAGATTTTGAACTCGCCTCTAGGGGCAATATATCTCCAAGAAAAAGATACGATGCATTAATTAACGAAGGTATTTGTTATTTATAATTTTGTTTTATAAAATAAGCTTAATGGATTATAGAGCATACCAAAGAAATAGACATACATGACACGGAGCAGTCGGGTAATAATAATTAACCTAATTTGAGAGAATTACCAAATAGTTTTAAGTTGTCTACTCAAGATTGAAATTCTGCTAAAATATAAAATTCTAATTCTGTTAAACATATATTTTAATTCTAAATGGATTTGAAAGATAGGATTTTTAGTTATTATTAAAACTAAGAGGAAATTAATTAAGTATTTCTTGACATAATAGAGAATTTCATGATATATCTATCTTACAATTTGAAATTTTAATTGTAATAACTGTATTTAACTCATTTAGGTATGGAGAGTCCGAAATCACACAAAGCTTTTCAATCAAACACAAGGCTATCAGAATTAAACACGATCGATCGCTCCTTGCCACCAATGGACTTACGAATTTACGAAGATCCATGTATTGAAGAATCTGGCGCTATATCTCCATACTGGCCATCCGCTGAACGAACAAATTTTCAGGATATGGGTCTTGGAGACACGGTGTCTGTAAATGAGACTGTTGAAGGTATGGGTGCCGCCCCATGGAACGGAACGAGCAGCGTAATGATAGAAAGGTGCATGAGTTGTATTTCAAAACTAGGCGCTTTATCCAGATCTTCGACAGCCGCTTTGACACCCGGTGCTAAGCATTTCAGTCCTGCTTGGACGATGGAGGAATTAAGTGAAAATTTGCAAAGTAATAATGGTTTGAAAAGTGATACAAAGAGTTGTGAAGCATTGCCTATAGTAAATACTATTGAAAATAAGACTGAAGAAATTTGTCGTTGTACAGATAAGCCGCCTATTAGACCTCCAAAGCCTACTAAATTAGAACTGAATCTCAATAAGGTGCCTACCATACCAATGGCTTCCCGCTCACGTAGTTATTCACATTTAAGTACACTAGCAGAAGCTAAAGCAATAAAAGTTGGCCCTTATGAAAACTACGATGTACCTAAAGTACCGTCAGCAGAGGTAAGATTTTGTATGTATAACTAACTTTTTTAAATGAATAATTTTACCCATAGTCATTTAAATCTCGGTTCTTGGTTCTTTGTTTTCGCTCTGGCTACTTCAGATTACTGACCTAACTAGGTCTAACTAGGCTATGTCGATTACGCTGTAAGTGTATCTTTTTAGTTTATATAATTACTTTAATATGTGCTCTTAAAATAACGATGATTTTAATTAAATCCTATGATAATGATGATGATATTTCCCTAGCAAATTTATTCATGCTATCTTTTGGATTATTACCATCATAATCATTATTATCATCATTACAACCTTTCACAAGTCCACTGCTGAACATAGCAGTGCAAAGCACGGTCCTGAGCTACCTGCATCCATCGACTTCCTGCATGTCTTACCAGGTCGTCACTCCGTTTAGTGGGGGTCGCCCTACACTTCTCCTACCGGCTTGGATTATCGGAATCAATCAACTACAATATAGTACTACAAGCGTACCTGCAAAATCAGATGCAAACACAATCCTAACCTATTCTTGAAAGATAGCGAATGAATCGGAGTAAGTAGTAACTATATGTCATTTATAAGGACGATCGTGTTTAAATAGATTTTTTTTACTTTGTTACAGGTAGATGGAGAATATTACGATACGCCTAAAAGACTCAAAGAGTGCTTGAATAGGGAACTCTTTAAGATGACTCGAAGTTCCACTACTAACACCCTTGTATTAAAGAAACCATGTGGATGCTTACTAAAGCTAGGCAAAAAACCCAAAGAGCCTACGATAATAGATAGTGAAGAAAATTTTCAACCTGCAAGTTGTCCATGTAGGAGAGTAACGGATTGGGCTCACGCTTGGATAAGACTGCCTTATTGCAGGAGAAATAGAGATACAAGTGAAAATACTGTGCCAAATAAAGAAAATATGATACCAAATGATGATCGCAATGCACTTTATGCTAAGGTTGACCTATCTCGAAAAACTAGGCGAAAAACTGAGAGAGAGGGATGTACTACTCCCGAAAATCAGCAATCTGTGGATTTTCAAATAGATGAAGGGCCCTTAGCTAACTATGAAAACCTTAGCTTCGCTTTGTCTCTGGAAAATTACGAAAATGCGAAAGATTTGCTAAGAAAAGTAGGAATAACTGAAACGGAACTGGATGCGATTGGTGCTAATTTGAAACCAGAATCCTTTGCAGAAATTAATAAGAAAAGTGTTTGTTCGAAATGTGGACATCAACAAAGTCAGTCTGATTCTATTGCACCTTCTGATAGGGTAACAGGCGGAAGCAACGATGAGTACCTGATGATGGAGCCTAGTAGCTTGGACAGTGACAGGCTGGAAAGAGATCGAACCTTCGCAGCAGGATACACACCAATGTCGCCCATAGGTGGTTTTGCTTTCCATACTTTAAAATACCCAGCAAAGAGCGCCATCAGTAGGTTACTCGAGGAGAAGTCTGCCAGCAATCCCGCTCTATGTCCACAGAAGTCATCCAAACCAGCGGTAGAAGGACCGAGTGGTGGGCGAGTAACAATCACAGAAACAAATGTAAGACAGCGCGCCGGTCGCGGGCGACGTTCGAGCTCTGTCGATTCCTCCCGATTTTTGGAGGATGTAGAGGAGTTTGAGGGCAGCGTTGGTAGTCGAGGATCAGCTTCTTCGATGGAAACACTACGCGACCTGTCGGGAGAGCGTACAGGTGGACCGTGTGCATGCGCGTCACGTAGCACGGGTGTACGAGCGGGTGGGGCGGTGGCGGTGCCGGCCGGTGCACGTGACTCCTGCAGCTCCAACGACTCGGGCGTGTCCAGCTGGTCGCTGCGCTCTGCCATGCCGCCGCCCGCTGCGATCGTGCGCTCCGCTGAGACCACCGCACCTGCCGTTCCTGGAGAACCAATCCGAGGTAAAAATTTAAAATTTTAAAAAGGTAAACCAGGGTAACGGCTTATCTACACAGGTCTGAAACACAACTGAAAGTATTCATAACTATTAAAAAAAATATATATATACGTCGGAGAAATTACAACAGAGGATTCCACTTGTGATCTCGGAAATACATAAGGATAGCGTTAATTGTTAAAAATAATAAAAGTGTGAGAGTGGATGTTCAACTTGCTCTCTTGCTTACGCAGTTTAATCATTACCAGTAATAAGACAACGTAACGCGATATACATTCAGTATAGTGAAATTACAATTCGACCACACCGTAACACGTCTCCGCCACAATCACATACCAGTGTAACGTGAGGTACGTAATTACATGATAACACTAAAATATGTAAACAAACAGCAACACTACTTATCTTGATGTAACACAGGGCAGCCTCTCAGCAACACCAATCCTTCTTGCCTGCACTAGAAGAATTACAACAACGAACAGATCCACGACACTATCTAAACACTAGTACAAGACTACACTCGTAGAATGACTTGAGCGGACTCTCTCGCGCACGGCACCTACAGTGCACTTTATACTACAGATACAAGAGGGGGTTTCCTCGATATACCCTCCATTCTACCTCGATCCAACCGGGTATATTATTAGATAGACGATATTTTATAGACGCTCCGACATATATATGCAAAATTTACTTGCACAAAATGCACAAAAATGGCCTTAATTCTACCAGGCTAGAAATAGAATGATATATTGTTGGGGATGTGGGAGAGTAAAACACAAATTCAAAGAGAAATTCAGTACAACGGATTTCTATCAGATCCCGCATTCAGATATAATAACAAAATTAGACGATAAAATTTATCACTCCTAATGAGATATCCTGAGCAATTCTGGTATGTGGTGTCACAAGAGTGGGAGATTTGATTATGGAATAAAACTAATTTTACAAGAAGTTAAAAAAAAATAAACAGTTTATTAATTTAAAATAATTTAAAAAGTTATAAACAGTAATCATGTAACTTAGACTTAAATTTTATTAGGACTCTGTGCCATCGAGAAAATAATTCAAAATTTTTAAGCACTTGTACTTGACTAATTTATTATTTTTACCAGGTGTGACAGATGCACAGAGTACGTCCAGTGGTACCTCAGACATGTCAGATTACGTGGAAACTTTATCAATGTGCTCGTCGCAGTCATCAAGTGACACGCCTCTCGGGCCATGGTTTGTAAAGTTTTTATAGTTATTTATTTGTATTCTTTGTAATATTTCATTTTTTTTTGTGATATTTGTTTTATTTCAGCCAACGTCGTGCTGCCAGTACATTACGACCTCGCGCTGGTCAAGAATACCGACCGTTGGCGCCTCGCCGTTGAATCATCTGTGCGGTTCGAGTACAAATAGCTCAGTGTGTTTGAAAAATGTAATAGAAATGTAGTTACACTATTATTTAAGCTTGAACGAACGTCACTTTTTTAAATATACTCTTTGCGTCATGTATACCAAAAATCATTGAGAGGTTGAGAGCTTTTATGCGCCATAGGTACTGTATTAATTTAATTTTAACAAATTATTTTTCTGTGTAGCCATTGTGATCGACTTTAAAACCATTCGTTTTATATTTCACTTTTAAAAATGAATTCTTTAATACGCTCTGTCATCGTTTGGTCTTAAGTGCGATCCGTCCATTCCCTACTTCCGATGACTTCGCCAATTTACAGTTGACAGTTTCGTTTCCTTTATAATCTATAACCGGCCATTTGTCTTCATTAATAATAATTCCTCCTTTTGTTTGGAGTGTTTCATAAAACCACCAACCCATATTTTATCTTTTCTCCGAACCTAATAAATTTTTTATAAATCAATTGTAATTATATAAATATGAACTTTTACGACTAACTTTACATTTTGTAAACTATTTTCATCGCTTGTTGACATTTGAAATGTTTGTAATTTATGTTGTATTTAGTATCCAAAAATTATTAATAGAAAATATATTTATGAGAATTATTAATTTCAAAAGAGAACTAAACGAATTACGAGACAGGTTATATATATTAATTTACTCAAGTCGATGCTACAAGTAAGCCTAATAAGCCAAATATTAATCAATTTCTAGTCATTTATACAATTATTTAACTTAACAATAAAAACGTTTTATGTAAATACCTTTCGTAGGACGATGTAAAATAGATCATTTATAATTATGAATACGTATCTCTACTTACAACGATTCTCGTCTGTACTTTGTTATGACGATATTTTGATATTCGGAGTTTATCTGAACGATACTTGGAAGTCTGAAGTTTCCTAATATACTTCGCCACTAAAACTGCGTCGCTAAAGCAATAAGCAATGCAACTTAAGGTGATCTGTTATTATACATAAATATTATAATAATTAGTGATCACTAAAATGATGTGCGCGAGACTGGTTTCGAAGCAAGTTGTTCTGATTCGCGCTAGTGGATGAGTTATGTGATTAAAGTAATGTTAACAAGCTCGAATTTCTGAATAAAAATCTTGAATAAACGACTCGCTTGTTTCATTTATCCCCTAATTAGCGACGTGAGACGAAGACAGATGAAGAGACTAAGAAAGCCGACAGTAATGACATCGTCGACGGGCAGCTCCTTCAGAATATTATCGTTTACGTGATGACAAAGAAAAATAGGCTTTAAAGGAAATGAGCGAGAGCCCGGTCCAACACGTTCATTAGCAGACAAATAACGCCTAATGATCTCACGGAATCGGCTTGAGTACTATAACAGGCTTAATCAGCAATATTCTGAAATAAATTTATTGCCTATTTCCATTTAAGTAACATGATTGGCATATCATCGTAAATAGAAGAAACGTTAAAAACGCGCAAACTTAGAGACATCTATTATTCTTTTGATATTATAGTAGCAGGGTCACGCTGCAGCTATTTTATGGTTATAGCACGTATTAGTCAGCTCGACCGGAGAGGATCACGCTCTCACAGTGAGTGAGTGAAGAGTGTAGAGTATTATATAATCATACTGTAGAACCAATATCAGTATCTATTTTTGGGTGCTTATTTATAGGAGAGGGAGCAAACGAGCATGCGGTTCACGTGATGGTAAGTGACTACCGCCGCCTATGAACAACTGAAACACCAGGGGAGCCTGGAGAATTGCAAAAGCGTTGCCAGCCTTTAAAAAGTGCTGCAAAGTACTTGAATTGAAGATAAGTTATCTTTAAAAATCCACAATCCCACCTGGTGGTAAGTAGTGATGCAGCCTTAGATAGTAAATCGCACTTTCTATCGTAACAAAAGCGTATTCCTTCTTGCCTTGATGACTCGTTTGCGACGGGCCCCGGCTTCACCTAGAGAGAATCTATTAATGTGGCGTTATTTAGATTTAAGATGATCAAAGATCATTTAATATATCTATTTTTAGTTTTTTTTATAAAACCCTCTTTTAAGCTTTTAGAATAAAACAACGTCTAGATCACTCATGGCATTGCTCTCTACCTGTTCGTGACCTTTCATTAAAATTGGTTCAGCCATTTTGAAGATTAACCTGGACATAGAGAACGACAGACAGATAGACAGGCAGGCAGACAAAAATTATTAAAATGGTTATCCATTTCTTCATCATCATTACAGCCCTTCACAAATCCACTGCTGAACATAGGCCTCCCCGAAGGAATGCCACAAACCACGGTCCTGAGCCACCTTCATCCATCAAATTTCTGCATATCTTACCAGGTCGTCACTCCATCTGGTGGGGGGCCGCCTTACACTTCGCTTATCGGTACGAATCTACCACTCGAGAACATTTCTTCATCATCGGTTGTCGCTTCTTCGATCTATAAGGCCAGCCCATTGCCACTTCAGCTTACTAATCCGTTTGGCTATGTTGGTTACTCTAATTCTACTGCGGATACTCTCATTTTTAGTTATATCACGCAGAGAAACTCCGAGCATAACCATCTCTATAGCTCGCTGTGCGAATTTTATTAACCGCATAATGCCAGCAATGAAGGACCACGTCTCAGATCCATGAGTCATCAATGTGGCAATACGCACTGGTTTTATAATCTCGTTTTCAAGGCTTCCCAGTACAGTAGCTAGAAACATCTTCCAATGCAGCGGTGAAGTGTTTAGGTGATATAACGGCAATATATATGCAGATAAATAGGTTTTACTGTGTGCTCGTTTGTACTGTAGTAGTAGCTTATTTTATTAACCCCGTTTTAACTAGCTGCTATTATCAACTAACTAGCTATTTCTATCATTTGTGTAACTGCAAATATCAGTTACTATGTTGTACAACTAGCTATCACTATCACTTGTGTAACTGTAAATATCAGTTACCACGTTATGCAACTAGCTATCACTTTCACTTATGTAACTGCAAAAATCATCCTATAAAAATAAAAAAAATATTCCTTAAGATACGAATGGATAATGGTCATATCAAGGTCGTGGTGTAGATCCGCGTTCCTCACACAATATGGAGCTCCTGTGATCAACGCAGTAATTTATTCTGAAAAACATAAAGATGTCGAAGACTTTTTTGAGGAATTGGGCAAAGGACACACCCTCATAATATGACGGCTTAGGATAATGCGCTCATAAATTTTCCCCATAGCACTAAGGAGACTGATGGGTCTATAGCTAGGCTATATTTAGGTTTGTTTGGTTTGTGAATAAAGATAACATCTGCTTCTTTCCATATATCTGGGTTTCATCACAAGTGCAGGTGGATATATGTTCAATGTCTATCTTATTCATTGAAAAAAGCCACTAGAAGGCAGTTCAATTTTGAAGTTGCTCTAAACAACTTATTATTAATGCCGTCAGCACCAGGCGCTTTTGGAGGCTTGAGATTTTTGATAATAGCTGTGTGTTATTTTGGAGCTATTCTATATATAGCGCGTTAATTTCAGAACTTTAATAGCCCGACTTAGGCTTTGATGTGTTTCGCTTGTGGCTCGACGTCAAAGGTAATTATTTCGATATTATAGAGAGACACTTCAACTTTATTTATATTAATGTTTAGATAACTTTGTAAAGCTTGAGTGCCCTTTCTTTTATGTTTTATTAGGTTTTAGCATTTTAACTATTTACAAAAGTAATAAAACCTACTAAAACTACAGGGGAGGCCGAGGTTTTAAATTAGACGATCTCTTCTACTCGTATAAACATATATTATGATATTTTAGGAACTTCCGTATGGGGGCTCTTTCGTTTTCTATATTGGTCTTTTGTTCTTTGGCTTGGTAACTATTCCTTCATTTCAAATTTTCCGTACTGTGTAAGTAATAAAACAATAGAGCCTCGTGTATGGGGGTTGTTTGCGAAACGCTTTGTACAGAGTCTCGGCTTGTAACGGGATACGGGCAGTTTTGTTTGTACAGGGCTAACAATCCTTTTCAGAAGTTTCAAATAATGTAAAAATTATCAAGAGTGTAGCCCAAAAAAGACAAAAACTTAAAATATGTAATAAAAAAATTAATAATGTGATTGCATTATGTTTATTTATGTACTAACTGTTGCCCGCGGCTCCATGGGTTTTAAATTTATTGCGCGGACCCCTAATTATTTTTCAAATTTTTTTTTAGGATAAGGGTGACAAACGAGCACACAGTCCACCTGATAGTGATGGTGCTTGCTGTGGCCCATAGACATTTACATTTATCATCGATTACGAATCAAAATGCAGATGCGTTGTCACCCGTGAGGACTAAGATTGAATGCCACGTTTCCAGTAAAAAGGGTCTCCGGTTCTCTACACTCACCATACGAAACACAGCAGCATTAATGCTATTTTACGCTGGTATTCTGTGAGAGCGTGGTACTTCCCCGGTCGAGCCGACCCATTCGTGCTACAACTATACTACTAATATAGCTGCAGCATGGCTCTACCACGTATAAAAAGTAAAATAAAAGTAGCCTTAGTAATATCAGCTACCTGTCAGTGAAAGTCCCGTCAAAATCGGTCCAGCTAGTTCGGAGATTAGCCGGAACAAACAGACAGACAAAGATTAAATAATTGTGTTTTGTTATAGGTATTGTACATATATTAGTAAAAAGCTGTTATTTTGACATTAAAAACAGACACTTCAATTTTATTTATTTGTATAAATGGATAGATTTAACAACAGCAAAAGAAATAACACATTAGAAATGCAGATGACAAATAAATATTAACAAAAATTTTCTTTGTGTCATAATTAAAGTTAAAGTTACAGCCTATACACGTCCCACCCTCACAGGCCTTCTCTCATTTCTGAAAGGGTAAGTATTATAATTAAGCCCTATTAAAAGTCCACTGCTGAACATAGGCCTCTTCCGTAGATTACCTCAAAGAAGGATGATTGGCATGCGTTGTTATGCATAGAAG